TCTCTTCTCTCTCTCTCTCTCTCTCTCTCTTCTCTCTTCTCTCTCTCTTTCTCTCTCTCTTTCTCTCTCACACACACACATACATACACACATAAACAAACACACACGCAGATTCTCCAAAAATAAACCGTTATCGGTGGCTTGAGAAACACACACATTCGAACGGGAATTGATGGCACAATTCTGTTGCATTTGCAATCGGAAATAGAGTTTAGAAAAAACCAACTCCGATAGCGTCTGAAATCTCCAGCTCTAAATAAGAAGATACTTGAATCCATCCCCTAGACAGGAAAGCAGGCGGTGGGTTTAGGGTGGGAGTGGGGTTAATGTGGAGGTGGGAACTGGGGCTTGATTCAAATTTGTTAGGTTTTTTTTCATTGGAGTTGGAGGGGTCGGCTAGATGCTTGAATTAATGTCTATGCTGGGGGAAAAAAGGGTGTGCGGGGGTGAGGGTGGGGGTGGGGTGGGGTGACAATGCCAGAGATAGCCTTCAAAATAATTTTTTTTAAATGTAGAAATCTCATATATAACCCTTTTCAGATTTGCTTTTTTATAGTTAGTTACATAGATACAAACACAATCTTTTTGTTTTCTTTCAATAGAAACAAGGATGAAATACAAACTCTTTTTGATGCGTGATTCACAGAAAGATAAATAGGATCTACACACTACAGAATCTTTTTTGCTTACTGGTGATTTATAGATACAAAGATACAACTTATTCATGATTACCGATATATAGATACACTTAAAAAGATACAACAAATTGCACCTTTGCGAGATTTTTCTCCAGAGATCTAGCATCTTGCAGCAGCAATAGCCTATTAAAAAATAGAAGACCTTCGGAAAAGCTATTGATATTGTAAACGTGTGTAAGGAAATGTTTAGAACACAAATCAGACATGATATTGACCTTTTCGCTGCTGCGTAGGCACAATGGTATATTGCCCTGTGTTCTACCAAACTGGTCACTGCCATTTTCTACTGGTTCTTAGAGGGTATTTTAAAAGATGCATATGCAAATTGTGCAATTAATTTTTTTAACAATAAGAGGAAATATAATATGCGGATTTTGCTTAATTTTCTCTTGGATGAACATTTCATATTGTCTGCAAAAGTTTAAATAGAAAGGCCTCCGCACTGAAAAGGTAAAGGATAAAGTGACCTCTTTGAAAGTACGGTGGTCGAAGATGTAAGAAAAGTTGAAAGCCTATTTCTTAAGCCATGTTTCTTCTTTGCCCATTTTATTCCCCACATTAGAAACATAGAAAACGTTTATCTGCACTTCTTTACTGTGTGCTTTTAACTTAAATGGGAGTCTTTTTATAACTTAAATACGCTATTTGTTCGAATTCATCAACTTTTCATTATAGTGTTGGTTGACTTTCTTATATATTATTCAATACAGTTATTAAAATTTGATGCTTTAGATAGATACATTATTTATGTTCCGCTATCTTTGCCAACAGATTTGTCCGTATGCTCAGTTCCGTACACCCCTCAGAAAGGGTTGTTGCTCTGAACGAAACCAAAGGCTTGTAAACATATTATAAATGCTAATGTGCACATTTATACTTAAATCCATGTTTTTTTTTTGTATTTCTGACAGCTGTTTTCCAATCTGTCTGAAAATATCGTAATAAATCATTTTTCATAGCGAGACAATACTGTTCTCCATTCTTTTGATATTCAATACATGCCTGTTCCACCAATGTTATTACACCCCAGTACGAGCCGAACATACTATTACGTTTCTTTGACTTCACACAACTACCACGCATGATTTGTTAAGGTTGATTTTGATTTTGAGCGACCATAACTCGGTCGACTCTGATCGTAAATGAAAAAAAAATCTGTGCGTCAGTAGATGCAGAATATTTAGCTTTAAATTGGTATGTTGTATGAGTGGGTAGTGAAATGCTTTAACACGATGATTCGGTGGATACATTTTCAATTTCAATTTTCTTTAAGGCACCATTGAAAGCCTGTAAATACACACACAGACACACACACACACACACACACACACACACACACACACACGCACACCGCACACACATTCAAACACACACACGCAGGCACACACACACACACACACACACACACACACACACACACACACACACACACACACACACACACACACACACACACACACACACACATCTGCACACACGCACTGATAGAGATAATAAAAACTAAAACAGGTGATCTACATTTTCTAATCTTACGCAGCTCGACTGTATGTCTAGCGTTTTCCCCAGACGATGAGCTCAATACAGGTACGCAAAAAACCCCCCAAAAAACGAAGCAATCTATCCGGGCCGAGCATCCTTTCAATTCGAAGGCGAAAGCACACATATGGGATTGGAAGATATAAGGTGCAATAACAGAAAATGCCGCCCCCGCCCCCGCCCCCCAAGAAAAAAAGCAA